GGGGGGATGGCCACGCTGCAATCCCTTCTCCTCCATTCTTCTCTTGGGATCTTGGGCAGGCACGCACACACACCCAGCGTGAGTTTAAGCCGCCGGATCCGGGACCTGAACTGTGATCGACTACATGGGAGTCCAGTGACATAACCATTACGCTAACTGCTGGTCCCCTAATAAACTCCTACATTTAAATCTGTTTTTCCACAAACTTTTTGTAGTCCTCTTGTGTTTTTGGTTGTTGTGAGTCAAGTGTCGAAAAGAAAGTCACTTTGCTACCAGGAGCAAGAAGCTCTTGAAGAGGCTGGAAAAGATTCAGATAGCAGTCGGCCTGCACAGGCTAAAGAGAAGAACAGCTTTTTAAAGAGAAGAAAGAAAAACATGTACCTGTCTGCCATTGTTTTGTGAATTCCATAAAATATTCAAGACTATATGAAGGTTTTACCTTGTAAGCTATATAACTAGACTTGTTAAAATAATTTATAAAGTTGAGGCACCTTAAAAATAAATAACAGAGTGTAATAATCAGTTCTTGGGTCACAATAAAGGGTAGTACAGATAACACAGCATTTATGTAGACCAAAAATCTCATATAATGCAGTAGGTTCCCATTATGTCAAATCTAACAGAACCTAGAATTTGATTTCTTGTATTTTAACTTAAAGTAAATGGAAGTGTTCCTATACCCCATAGTAAGGTTTGATTGGTAACACAATTACTTGTTTCTCTGCTAATGGACCCTATTACTTGACTTTCAACCAAGCACAATTAGGCTTGGGACCTATTACAATTGCAGTAACAGTTTTGCAATTTAGAGATCTTCAGATTCTAAAAGAAACAATCATTTCCTATAATTAGCAGAAACCTAATAAAAATTATAAAGCATGGCAAGTTTTAGGGTATTTTATATTCCATTGTTTATCATGCCATTAATAGCAAAGTAACACAGACCTGATTTTATACATGAATGCCTTTATAATTAATATTGGTATATATAATTTATAATTATAATAAATGGATTATTAAGAAAGGTAGATTTTCTATTAACTTTATGCAATTTATAAATTTATTTCCTCTTTTATTTTGAACTCTAATTCTGTAAGCTTTGTCAGAATAAGCAAGATTATCCTTTTTTGGGTGGGGAAAGGGGATTCCATAGAGCAAGTAGGCTTGCCAGAGAGAGACAGTGAGAGGGAAAGTAAGAAATCACCCCTCCCCAAGGACAACAGCCACACACCACTGTCACTTCTCCTCCTGGGATTTTGGGCACACATGTATGTACCTGGTGTGATTTTCAAGCCACCATGTGAGAACCACCACACCCCCTGCTAGCCCCCAAATTACCCTGTTTTATAGTTGAAAAACTACCTTAGAGTTTATGACTTGTTACTTGGCTACTAAATGGTACAAGAAAGGAAAAGGGTTTTTTTAAAAAAAATGTATTATTGTTGTTTTTTGTTTTTTTGTTTTTTTGTTTTTTTTTTTTTTAATTTTACCAGAGAGAAACAGGGAGAAGGAAAGTGAGAAAGCAAGCCTCCAGGTCTGGGACTTGAACCGCAGTTTGCCATGTTGTGAGAGTCCAGCGCCCTAACCACCATACCACCTGCCAGCCCTGAAAGGGAATGCTTTTTTTTTTTTTAAGATTTATTGTTTATTTATTCATTTTAATTTGACCAGAGACAGACACACACAGAGAGAGGAAAGTGAGAAAGCAAGCCACCAGGTCCAGGACTTGAACCATGGTTAGCCATTTGGGAGTGTCCAGTGCCTTAACCACCATGCCACCTGCTGGTCCCAAGGGAATGCTTTTGATTCATGCTTCTAACATTCAGTCTGTATCAAAACCATAAAATGTGTTCATATATGATCTTCACCTTTTTAATAGTATTAATCATATTTAACATAAAAAATAGATGTTTTTTTCCTCAAAGATAATTTTAGCACTCAAATTTTTTTGTGTAACTGTTAATGTATTTATGTAGGATTTTGTCAGTTAAGCATTAGTATAAGGAAAGGAAAATAAGGTAGCTTTATCTGTTACCCTAGTGGATTCTGCTAGATGATAAAACTACCTATATCTTTAGTTTACCCTACAATACCCTTTAATATTTTTGTAGTATTGATGTATGTTTTCCTTAAAGAATGAATGTGAGAGCTACCATCTGAAAAGAAATAACATCCTAATTGTGTACATGGACATGCACACACCTCATATATTCACTGGGTGTTTTTTGTGTGTGTGGTTTTTTTTTTTAAGAGATGCAATAGAGAAACTTCACAGCATGGATGATGCCTTTAAAAAACAAGTTGATGCAATTGTTGAAGCTCATCAAGCTGAAATAATACAACTGGCAAATGAAAAGCAGAAATGTATTGACTCTGCAAATTTGAAGGTACTGTGAGTAAAATTCACGTTGACATGATCAGTATTAAATTGTTATAGCTGGGACCAGAAGTTGGCATAATGGCTATGTTGCTGAACTCCCATGTAGTAGACCACAGTTTGAGTCCCGGACCTAGTGACTTAAACTCATCCTGTGCATGTGTGTGTGTGTGTGTGTGTGTGTGTGTGTGTATACCTAAGATCCCGAGAGGAGAATGGAGGAGAAGGGATTGTGGGCGTGGCCATTGCCCCTCGGGGGTTGATTTCTCGCTTTCTGTCTCTCTGTCTGTCTCTGTCTGGAGAGCACATGCACTCTATAGCAAAAACCTCTCAAAAAAAAAGAAATTGTTATAGCTGAATAAATTAGATCTGGGTCAGCCCGTTGCATGGTGGTTAAGGTGGTTAAATCTCCTAAGCTAGTGGGTCTCAATAAGGGGTCCCATTAGAATCATCTCTGGAGTTCTAAAAATACCTGGGTCTGACCCAGGAAGCTCCATAAGCATGTGCTTCATAGGTGATTCTGATGTTTGCCTCCAATCTAGCAACACCCCAAACTACTGAACCTTGTGACTTGAAAAGTCACTTGTGTATGTGCTTGCATGCCCAAAATCCCTAAAGGAGAGAAAAATGGAGATAGATTTGCAGTATAACCATTCCCCGTCGGGGAGTGCTTTCTCCCTTATCCCTCCCCCTCACTCCAGGGAGTATGTGCGCCCTCTGGCAATTTTTCAATTTTTAATTTTTTTTTTTTAGTTTTTGCTATAAGGCTTTTGTGCTCACCAGAGACACTGCAGGGAGAGGGGTGAAAACTTGCCCTCCAGGGGAGGTGATGCCACAGTCCTGCTCCATCCTCCTCTCACGTGAACATGCCTGGTATGTTTTTGAAGCTGCTGAGTCTGGGGCTTGAAACATGCACTAGGCCATGTGGATCCACCACCTTAAACTCCAGGCCACCTGCTGACTGGGCAAAAAAACTTTTTTAATTAAAAGAAAAAATGAAATAAATTGGATTTTTGATAATCATGAAGAATAAAGACAACATGATTTAATGACCAAATAGATAGAAAGGATGTTGTTGCCCCAGTTATGAAACCAGGCTAAAATGTTGGTAATACATTAGTTGTAGAACACAAGTCCAATGAAACCTAACATGTAAGTTACATTTTAGTGAGCATGTGTGGATAAAAAGTTTCATAACTCTAGCCAGTCTCAGATGGAAGTTTCTTTGATTATCCATAAGCAGTTTGAGCATATGAATATAGTACACATAGTTTATCATTACCTTGAGTGAAGTTCTCAAAGAATACAGTATTATTAATTAGGATTTAAGACTACCAGCTTTAACAAAAGAGTGAGTTTCAAATGACGTTGAATTGGAGCCAAACATCAGAATCACCTGTGCATCACCTGCTTCTGGAGTTTCCTGGGTCAGACCCAGGTATTGGGTCATCAGAAAAGTCATGACGTATTTTTCTAGTTTTTTCTCTGCAAAATGTGTCATGACTTTTCCAATGACCCAATTTTTTTTTAAGAAATATTTTATTATTTTATTTAACTTTACCTACTTATTTATTTTGAATTTGACCAGAGAGGGACAGAGTGAGAGAGAGAGGGAAAGTGAGAAAGCAAACTGCCAGGTCCAGGACTCAAACTGTGGTCAGCCATATGGGTGTGCAGCGCCCTTAACCACCACACCACCTGCCGGCTCTCCAATGACCCAATATTTTTAAAACTCCAGATTCTGCTATGACCCCTTTGTTGAGATCTACTCACTGAGGGGGTTTGTGAATTTGCACTTTGCCCTGATTGAAATAGTAATAAGAAACTAAGGTATCTATAAAACTAGAGATTCAGAGAGTGATGGTCAGAAAATGCAGCAACAAACAAGTGACATAATACTCCAAATAGAAATTATGGTTAAGACTGTGTGTTTCAGTAACATTACCCTGAGGACTGTGCAAAGTCAAGGAAGGAGTAAGTTCTTTGGAAGTAATCACAATGCATCAGGAAGCATAACCTGTCTAAAATTCAGTTCCTTATTTGAAGTCAACAAATGTTTCAGATGTTTTGTATAAAATCTACCAGTGTTTAGCAAGGGTACAGCAGGTAATACCACAAATAAGGTTAGGCCCATAGCTGGAAGAAGACTGAGTTTAGTGTTGGACACCCTGCAAATCTGGAGAAGTCATCAAGCGGGGAGGCCCTTCATTAAAGAGTTAGAGAAGTAGCACCAGTGCTGAAATGTAATAATTAGGTATAGAAGAGAAATTTAATAGTTTTTAAATTGTTTATTTAATTTCTTTATTCATTCATTTAATTTGACCAGAGACAGACACAGAAGGCAAGAGAGAGGCAAAGTGAGAAAGCAAGCCACCAGGTCCAAAATTCGAACCTTGGTCAGCCACGTGGGAGTGTCCAGAGCCTTAACTACCACACCACCTGTTGGTCCCGAGAAATAATCGTTTTTAAAGAAGGTGTCGGGAAATCTATATTAGAGATTAGGAAGAGTGAAGTAAACAGAACAGGGTGGTCATGGTGGTGGTATAATAGTATCAAGAGGGATGTGGTATAATCGAGAGGGTTTCAAGCAGAAGTTACCAGCATCAAATACAGAACTCCTAAGAGATATTGGGAATAAATTATTTTTTTTGCAAAAATAGTGGTATTACATAACTAACAACAGCATGTTTAGAAATGCAGTAGAGACTACCTTAAAGAGAGGGTTCCGGGGAATTATTACAATTTTGAAGATCTATAATGAACTGGTGTTGAAGTTGAACCCCTGATTCAGCATTCATAAGCATCATAAGATTGGAGTACTGTCCTAGCTGTGATACATACAAATTGTACAACCTTAGGCCAACCAGTGGGGTGGTTGTCACAGTGGCTGGATCTGACATAGCCAACTGTACAGTTCAAATCTGTATCTGGTGGCTTGACAAACTTGCACGCATAGCCAAAATCCCGAGAGGAGAATGGATTGTGGCATGGCCATCCCTGCTGGGACGTGCTTTCTTACCTTTTTTTTCTCTCTCTGGGGAATGCACACATCCTATAGCAAATTTAAAAAAGAAAAAGAGAGTGTACAACTTTAAATTTTCTGAGCTGTAAAGTCGTTTTTAAATATGTTGCTTTGTCTTTTTCACAAGAACCTTTTGGGGACATAACATACATGAAAGTATTTTGTATACTATATAAACTTTGTATTTTTCCTGTTACCATTTGAACAAGTTACATTATACTAACCTCATTTAGTTCAGTGAATCAAGTTACAGAATATGTAAGAGTAAATCATTGACTGTTTTCTTCCAGAATGTTTGTGTAAAGTATCATTTTTTTGAGAAGTTAAAGTGTAAAATTTACATGTTGATTCAGGTTCATCGAGTTGAAGAAGAAATGCGTGGACTTTTGGAAGAAACATGCAAGAACAAAAAAGCAATGGAATTAAAAATTAAGCAACTTGCTTTTGCTCTAAATGAAATTCAGAAAGAAATGTGATGGTTCTGAGAATGAGTTTGATTGAAATAGACCAGCAGACCTATTGTGAAAATGATTAAATATTGTAATAGCAGTAACTGCTACGACTTTGAAATGTCTCTTTCTACAAATTTCATTACTGAATATATTTTAAAACTTTTGATCAAGTATTTATTAATTGTATATGTAGGTTTTTATAATAAACTGTTGATAATTATGTGAATTAGAAAAACCTATCATAATAACTAGACTTACTACACTTTCTTGTTTCTTGTTTGGTGATTACACATTTGCCTACAGATTTGAAAATGAAAAGATTAGTGTTTAACCAAATGAGGGAAAGTATTTAAATCATTGTTGTTATTACCTTATTAAGTTGATGAAGATCTAATTACATTTATTGGTTGTCCTTTAGTTGATGTAGCATTCTTTAAAGTGCTTAGAAGATAAATGTAGCCAACAAGTGTTTAAACTGTACAGTAAAAGATGTGGCATTCGTAAGAACCAGGTGTAGCTGTGCCCACATCACTCATAATGACCTATTTCATAATGCATATGACTTTTCATTAAGGATTGCATGTAAGGTTTTATCAATATTTTTGTTCCTGAGATGGAACACTGCTTTTCTAACCTTTTTCTCCCTTTTAATCACTTTATATGAAGAGAATTCTTTTTTTGCTACTGGAAATAGTAACATTTCATTTCATGTCATCATTTATTGCTATTTCACTTTTGTCGCCTCTTATACTATGTATACAAAACAGAACATCTAAGTTCTACTGTTGCTGAGAGGAAGAAGCTGTAATACCATATTTTAAAATTAAATAGTGAACAAAATTTTGAAATGTAAATGGAACCAGAAAACATATTAATACTTTAAAGAAGAAGCCCTAAGAAGCCCTATTTTGTTATAGGTAAGCTTGATAACCAGGATCTGGGACATCATCGAACATACCAAAAGTAATGGGACTCTCAGAAGGGGGTAAGAAATACTTAGAGACATAATGGCTGAAATTTTACTAAACCTTATTTAAAATGATTAACCTACAGTACAAGTTTTAAATAAAACATAAAAAGAGCCACATGTAGACATTACAGTCAAATTATTAGAAAGATTTTGACAAAAATTTCGTTCAGAGGAATAACCGTTGGCTTCTTATCCGATGCAATGGAGGTCAGAAGGCAAGAGATGATCTATTAGAAACACTGGGAAATGGGCCTCCGGGTGGTTAAGGTAGCTGGATCCACATGGTCAGCTGCCCGGTTTGAGTCCCAGACCATACGGCTTAGACACACTGGGCATGTGTGTGCATGTGCCCAAAATCCTGAAAGGAGGGATGAAGGCAAAGAAAATGTGGCATGACTGTCCTCCATGGGGGTTGCTTTCTTACTTTCCCTGATGTTCCCTTTATTTCTCCCCAGTGAGTGCACATACACTAGCAAATTTGAATTCAAGTCCAGGACCTGGTGGCTTAAACTCGTGCCCGCTGCATGTGCATGCATGCCTAGGATCCCAAGAGGAGAATGGAGGAGGCGGGATTGCGGCGTGGCCACATCCCCCCCACTGCGGGGTGATTTCTTGCTTTCTATCTATCTATCTCTGTCTTTCTGGTGAGCGCACGTGCCCTATAGCGAAAACCTCTCCAAAAAAAAAAAAAAAAAAAAAAACTAATGACATTTCTAGATAAACAAGACAAAATTTGCTAGCCACCTACCTTAAAAGAAATGTTAAAGGGGGGGAGCAGTAGGTGGCGTGGTGGTTAAGGCACTAGACTCCCATATGGCCGACCACAGTTTGAGTCCTGGACCTGGCGTATGTGCGCACTCTCTCTCTCTCCTCTCTTGTGAGTATATGTGCCTTATAGCAAATTTAAAAATAAAATTAATTATTTTTTTAAAAAATGATGCTAAAGGAAATCCTCGAGGTTTAAAGAAAATAAGAGACAAATCCTCTGAAAGGAAGAATATTACAAAGAGTAAAACATGGGTAAATTTTTATATAAAAGATAAAACATTTTATTTTCAACTTCTTTGGGAGAGGTTTTTGCTATAGGGTGTGTGCACTCTCCAGAGAGAAAGAGAAAGAGAGATAGCAAGAAATCACCCCCCCAGTGGGGATGGCCACACTGCAATCCCTTCTCCTCCATTGTCCTCTCAGGATCTTGGGCACGCACACACGCCTGGCATGAGTTTAAGCCACCAAGTCCAGGACTCCAGCTGCAGTCAACTAACTACATGGGAGTCCAGCGACATAGCCATTATGCCAACTGCTGGTTCCTATTTTCAACTTTTATTGTATAAAGCAATAATTATAACTTGTTGAATTTATAACATGTAATAAAACAAAAATAGGTTACATTTTGGTGAAGGAAATAGTATTGTAGTAAAGTTCACATGTTTTACCAGATTAAGTATTAATCTAAAGATTATTGTGTTAAAATGCATATTTTAATTATGAGAATAACAACTAAGATACAAAGTATTAAAAAATCAACAGAATTCACCTCTTGAATACGAGAAACTGTTGACCTGTTTCCTAAGAAAACAACCAAAACTAGTGAAAAGTAGGTTTTGGCTTTGCTTTTTGAATATTACCAGAGGGCACTTGGTCTCACCAGGGAGAGAATGGAGTGTGGTCACACTGCAGTCCCTGCATTTCTCCATCTCAGTGTGTTTTTGAGGCCATTAGGGCCAGGATTTTTGAACCTTGGTCAGCTATACAGGATCTGGCTTCCAAAGTACAGGGCTTACCCTTTGCATCAGGGTCCACCCTGGTGAAAAGTATTTGAAACAACTATTTTAAATGTATGGAAATTGTCCCAAATGCATACAGAGAAACATTTCTTTAAGAAAAACTATTAAATCTCAGAACAGCAAAGCCTTTGGCACTGAGCCAAGATCCTCTCCTTGTTTTCACACTCAGCTCCACCTTCAGAGGTCATGGCCAGGAACATAAGTTTCCTCTCTGCTCAAGGAGTACAGTATCTCACCAGGGTGGACAGGCAGCCAGCATCCTCATCGGTTCCCAACAATTACAGAAGCTGTATTCCTGGTAAGTGCAACCATGAGGAGACCATTTCCACCATTCAACTGGCAGAAGCTCTGCCCTAGGCACAACAGACCAAGGATTCTGGGAGCCCAATTACTCTTGCCCCAAATCACTCAAGATTAAAGTCCCCTGCTGGAAAAGGCAGCAACCTCCTGCCTAGCACCCAGAGCTGTGGCTCAGAATTTTTTTTTTTTTTTGACTTGGAAATTTTTCAGTGAGAGAGAGGAGAGTAACACTAAAGTTCTCTCCAATGAAATTGAGTTTATTTGAAACTTAAGCGTGGGGAAGTTCAAACTAAGGGCACCCTAAAAAAATTACACTTTAGGGACTGGCAGGTGGTGTGGCGGTTAAGGGCACCAGACTCCCACATCGCTGTCTGGTTCGAGTCCTGAACCTAGCATCTTGATTTCTCACTTTCTCTTTTGCTCTGTCCCTCTCTGGTCAAATTAAAATAAGTAAATAAAGTTAAATAATTCTTTCTAAAACATTACATTTTAATTGGTAAGTACTTAAAAGAGGGCATAGGTAACTCTATGGGAGCAAAAACCTAAGCTATTGGCCTTATTTTTTATTGCCAGTAAAGCTTGAGTAGAAAAGATGCTCTGATTTTCTGAAATGTGGGGTTTTAGCTTCCATTGCAGCATACTCTAGCCCATCCTTACTGACACACCACCTCTGTCACTATTCTAAGAAAATAATACTAGAAATCTGCTTCAGCTTAAGATACTCTGCCCTGTATTTGGCCATGCCAAGTTGGCAACATTATTATATCTGCTTCTGTCCTTTATTACTGTGTTCTCTATCTATATGTTACACATGAATTTGAATGAGAGCTGACTACAAGTTCAACTTTTTATGTTAGCGTGTTTGTTCATGAGAGAAAGAGAGCATCTCAGCAGAGACATCAAGCCATAATTTCTCCCTTCCAATCTTCCCATTCTCCAAGATTCTAGTTGCCAGTTGCAGCACTCTGCATGTTTTGGGGCCAACCTGGAGATCCATGTGGTCACCATGTGGTCTCTAGCCTTATGGGGCACCATGTTACCATTGCACCACAGCAACTGAGCCTGAGTCCAATTCTTGTAATGACTTACGCTCATAATTTTCCGTCCTGACCATTTATGTATGATTTAGCCATGGCCCATACATGTAAGTATCAGATTTCTTGTGGCCAGTATCAGTGGTGTTCTTTATTACTGTTTAATCTATGTCCATTTCAACCTACTGGAGGGCATGCGTAGTTACTTAATATTGCATGATTATGTACAAATGAAGATAAAAATCAGCTGTGATTCTATAGATGCTGTGCAGCCAGATCAAAGTTGTTCATGAGTCATGTTTTTTGTCTGATGGTGAGCTAATGTGGTTGGCCCCCAATTTGGCAATACAGGTGGTTGAGGAAACTTCAAGAAGGCTATAGAATCTTCAAGCTACTCTAAGGTAGCAAATGTGTTATGAAGCTTGCTCAATTATTACCATTAATGTAATGTTGAATACACTTTCTATTGCAAAGAAAGTATTGGCCTCCCCTATCTGTGAGAAGGAAGTTCTGAAAGCCTTCAGCTCATAATAGTTCGAGTCATTGTGTGATAGAGAAACGAGAAGTATATTGACCCATGCTCTGTGTGTGTTATTTGCCTGGGAATTACTCAACAGGAAAAAGGACTGCCTACACTACAACTTATCCTTGGACCCAAAAGTCTTGATTTAAAAGTACCTCAACTCAAACTCCGTATTCCAGCTTATGCTCTACACAATATACCTACATTCTTATGTATAGATGTTCCACCTATGTACTAGTGTACATACAACTCGCCAAATTCCAAAAGCCAAGGTAGGTTCTCTCTTTTCTTGAGGTATTAGAGAATAAAGAGAATTGTTATACTCTTTTTTTTAATTATTTTATTTAAATTTATTCATTGTCATTATTTCATTTTATTGAAATTGACCAGCCCAGGTCTAGGACTTGAACCACGGTCAGCCATGTGGGAATCCAGCTCCCTTAACCACCATGCCACCTGCCAGCCCTAGCTATACTCTTTTATTAAACTCCCGTAACATTTTTTTTTAATCACAGATACCTCAAATTAGTCTAATTGCCAAAGTGTATAAAT